CACACCAGACATGGCCGCTGCAGCTGTGACAGCAGAGACCTCCCGAAAAGTCACCCAGCAGCAGCACAGCAGCAGCAGCACAGTCCCTGGCAGAGGCCTGGAGGCTCATTCCGCCCCCCCGCCCCGCGCCCTTTGAAGATAAAAGGCCGCCAGCTCCAAGCGCACTGTTCCCCCATGCAGTAAGAGCTGGGAACTGCGGGTTTAACAGATACAGAACTAATCTGCTTTTCTTGGGAATTCTCTCTGCCGACTTAGTCTTGCTTAGAGAAGTAACTATAAAAAGTCAAGCGGGGCCCTGACATTCAAGGGGAAAAAAGTCTCGAAGTCATACACTGCATACAGGATTTATTCAAGACATGCAAACATACAAGCGGAAAGACATGCAACAAAAGCCACTTTTCTTGGCAAGATGACTGCTGTTAACATTCTGCATAGTGCCTTTAAAATTGCTTCCCTACTGATCTGCAGTAAGAACCGCATTCAAAGTCACCCGTGTTTGATTAGAATAATAAAAAAAACAATAGGGATTTCCCTTCCCTTAGAAGCAAACATCCAGCCTAGTAAAGAATCCTAACTGAGCTGTAATGGCTTTCTCCACTGAGGTAAATTTTAAGAAACACTTTGCTGAGAAACAGAAATTCTTTAAATTTTACATAAGGATTACAAAAAGGGACAGACAGGTTTGTTCCAGTTCAGCTGCATGCTGTGAGGCCCAGGGCAGGGAATACCTGAGGAGGCATTATGCTGGCAATGCATATAGAGTTGTACTGCAGGCCTACTGTAAATGAGGTTATCAAAACTAATCTAATTCTTTAATTTTTGAACTATTTGAATAGAGGATTATTTTTTTCTAATTCTATGTCTGTTATCGCCATGGGAAAAAAGAAAAAAAAATAGGTGTTCTTAATTTCACTTACAGCCAGTTAATCTTTCTTTATCCAGTAGGACACATGGAGTCATGCTTATGACTGTCTCTGACTTGCATCAACAGATCTGAAAGAGTTCCTTTGTTTTACATCCGAGAGGCCTTTAGAAACTCTGCCTTCCTACCCTGTCTGCCCCAAGGCAACTGAGCATTAATCCTATTTTACAGGTAGGGAAAATAAAAAGAAGGTGTTAACATTGATAAGGCCACAGAAGGTATCACCATCACAGCACTGGTAGGTACTAACACCTCATGCCCTTTGTACTGGGATGTCTAGAAAATTCATTAAGAGACTGAAACATCATAAAACCGTTGTTGGCGCTGGAGCTCCAGTCCTGCTCAACAGTGTATCAGCACACAGTAAATTAGTCCTTGCTCAGGAGTAACACAGAGACATGGTGAGTGGGAAAAGAGAGACACACAAAAGGCAAATTACTTGCCTGGTGTTACCAGCAGGTCAGTGGGAGAACAGGAGACAGCACCAGCTCTCCCAAGCATCAAGCCAGGCAGCAGCTGAAAATGCGACATTAAAATGGAAGGGCCCCTCTGACAGGTCTTTGCTCTTACTGTACAGTCAGGAACTAATTTAGTGACCTTCCAGAACTCAAACTAGACATCTTTGGTAAAGAGGCACTGGACAACTTTATGGTAAAATCAGGTTTTTCTATGAGACTTGCTAAAAAGTTATTGAGCCTTTTGTGACAGGACAATCAGAGCTATTCTCAGTGCTGAAACCTATCCATGTGACAAGCAACAGAGAGCATTGCCCTGAAGGCCTGCTCCAGGGTATGCATTTCTTCTCCTCAAATCTACAGGCAAATTAAAATAAAATAGAGAAGAGAGAATTCTAAGTCCCACAAGTATTCTAAAGTGGATAGAAAGCACTGGGCATGGCTGGTTACTTGGGTTTTAATGAATGGTTTATGGACATGGTGCAACTGTACCACATTTCACTTCATTCCCTGTATAAAAATATTAATAAAGACATAAAAGTTGATGGCTGAGCAGTTGTTCAGTCTTAAAATGCTGTCATGTTGTTCCTCTCCTTCCCTGCCCCCCCTGAGTAATAACTACAGCTATCAAAATTGTTTCACAGGCAATAAACCCAGAGTATTGCCCTAACCTGGTAATGATGTGTTTGGAACTTGATTTAGGCTCCCCCACTCTTTATCTAATCCCCAAAAGATTTGATGCTTCCAGGGGCAAGCTTGCAGTCATTGTAATAAATTCACAAACTTTGACACGGAACCTACAGTATCTCCAGAAAGAAGGTCCATTAGAAGTAGCACATTGTAAGTAAACCTACTCAGGAAGGAAGGTTTTGTTTGGACAGGTTTTTTCACAAATTATGGCAACAATTACTTTGTGGAAGAGCAGGCAGAGGAGCATGTTATTCTAACACCTTATTTTCTAGTAGTTAATAGGGGTCATTGAAGGGGTAATGGGGGTGTCCAGCATCTCTTGCTACTAGCTTTCCATTCACCTGTGAAATAAACAGACAGACTTATGTCAGAAAGATAAAAATCCATTGTTACTTTCAGTTTCAAACTCTGTACAGTTTAGATTTCTAAATCTTCATATCCCAAACATCTGGGAGCATCTTCTTCAGCTTAAACAAGAGCTGTTCCCTCTACCCTGAGTCCTCTTAGCACTTCTTCAAAGAAAAAATTTAAAAAATAAATTAAAAAAAAAAGATAGATTTCTGTAGCCTACAGAAAGAATCTTTCTTCCAGCTGCTGAGGCTTGAACAATTAGATTAAGAATAGTTAAAAGCCTTATTAAATAGTGGCCTTGTAGCCATTATTGAGTAAGTGTTGTGACATGCACACTTCAAAACACTTTATTGGAGTTGGAGCTTTTGCCCATGTTTTCATGATAGAGTTGCTGGGCTGCCAGTTTTACAGACGGACAAGATGAAACACACTGAATAACTTGTTCAGGGTCAGACACTGAAGTATGAATAATGTCACTGAACTCCTTCATAGCACTTTTTCTTTAAGAATGTTTCCATGGAAGACCAGCTTCTCCAGCTGTAAAATGGGAATGCTGAAACTGACTTTCACGGATAATGAATCAGAGGCTCAGGCTGGCCCAAAAGCAGATGTGGCCATGCAGAAGTCTCAGTTCCTACATCCCACCTCTAAGCATTCAGATGCACAAGTTGCATTTCTAGTTGCATTAAGTCCACTGCAACACCCACAACTTCCAAGGAGCTGAGGTAAAACCTTGCTCCTCATCTGTAATGTTTGGGGAAATTGGGTTGGAAGGGACCTTAAGGATCATCGAGTTCCAACCCCCTGCCATGGGCAGGGACACCTCCCACTAGCCCAGGTTGCTCAAAGCCTCATCCAGCCTGGCCTTGAACACCTCCAGGGATGGGGCATCCACAGCTTCTCTGGGCAACCTGTTCCAGTGCCTCACCACCCTCACTGTAAAATATTTCTTCCTAACATCTCATCTCAGTCTACTCTCTTGCAGCTTAAAACCATTACCCCTAGTGCTGTCACTGCAACCCCTGATCAAGAGTCCCTCCCCATCTCTCCTGTAACCCCCTGTAAGTCCTGGAAGGCTGCAATAGTGTCTCCCCAGAGCCGCTTCTTCTCCAGGTTGAACAACCCCAACTCCCTCAGCCTGTCCACATATGGGTAGTTTATACATATAAATGTGGTTTTTATATTAATGTGATGCTAGAGATCACTCAAAATGTTATGGGGACAGAGGGAATCACAGGGACTTTCAAACCAAGTATCCACTAGCAAGTCCCTCTATTAGCTTTCAGTATAAAACCTGCACTTCAAAGCAACAACTGGCATCCCTAGTAATTAATGTTTACCACGAAGACTACTGAGGTGTGAAATTAGTCACTTGGGGGCACTACAGAGCAGAAAACTAAGCTGTTAAATCTTAAGATTTGGCTGATGCTCTGATTAAAAAAAAATAAAAGCTGTAATGAAGCCATCAACTGAAGGCAATTTTTAAAACTGTGGAGAGAAGTATCAGAGTTTCTTCAGGTTTCCTCATATTCTCATTAGAGCCAACAACTTCCTTATGTTCCTAGAATTCTTATTCCTAATTTCCCCTCCCCCAGTTTCTTCCCCCTGCATATTTCACTACACAGAACAGCTCCTCAGGTAAGCATTCTTATTCACAGCTTGCCAAGACAGCAGCTGCCTGAAGCAATGTTTCACTTAGCCGACTCCAGTCTACCCCGGGAATGCGAGAGAAGGGAGGGTGGTAAAATCATCAGTGAACACACTGCAGGTCAACGGTAGCTAGCTATCAAAAATAGACAGATCATCACGTGTACAACACCATCCCTCCTCCTCTCTTGGTTTGGGAGTCATTCAAGTTTTGCTTAAGTATATTCCTTGACCAATCATGTGTTTCCAGAAATTTGGATTCAGGCTGGTGCAAGGTAATTTCCAACCTCTATCCAGGTAACGAACTGTTACAGTATGAAGCAACTTAAATTGTCTACATGCAATGTAATAGCCTTTCCTCAGGCTTTAAACAAAAACACAGCATGGAGAGGAATGGCACAACTGTAAGAACTTGTGGTTATGCATCATTGGAGTAAGCAAGAAAAAACTGTCTAGTCAGTTATGACAGGAGCTCCAATATCACTGCCACATCACACTTTGAAATCCAGACACCGGAAGTTAGATTCATAGTGGAGACAGGCATGAAAGGTTGGACAGGAATTTTAATTCACAGTAGATGAAAATTCTTTCCGATAAGCCCAGAAGGGATGGGCAGGAGACAAAAGGTTCTGCTAGAAATCTTAGAGCTACAGCATCACATTTTAATTGTCATCTTGCTTCTTCCTGTCTTGTTATCTGACAATATGGCAGTATCTTTGAAGACCAGCTGCAACACATTCACCGTTTGCTAGCTGGATGTGCTAGCACTTTGAACTGTACTACATCTCTCCTTTGTGAATCACTGTGACCTGACCAGGTCTCCCAGGTAACAAAAGCACATGCATTATCCATGGCTCATCCAAGCCGGGCTACATTCTCATGTATTTTTCAGCTTCATTAACAAAACAACTTTGTTTGCAGCACAAGTAGCAAAACACTTTAAGCAGCACGCTGTCAGCAGCAGGTGTGCTGTCACTAGCACATTCACATGGATAAGCAGCAAAGTTTGCAGTTTGGTGTGCAGACTCCCGATCCATAAGGACAAAGATAATTTTGGTTGCAGGGATGTGGGGGTTTATATTTACGCACACATACTGAAGCAAGCCTACAGTTAAAAGCATGGCCTTGAAGCTCTCTTCAGGCCCAGCACGACAAACAGTGAAAGCTGTAACAAGTATCTACCCTTGATATGAGACAGTAATTCACCACACACATTCACAACTTCTCTTTTCTAACTCAGACTAGTCACTGATGTCCTCTCAATTACTCAAAAAAACCTCCACAATAAATCCCAGAGAAAAGCTTTCCCCACAGAATTCTAGAGCAAGTAGCTACTGACTATTGAATAATTTACAGGCAGACAAACTGCTTGAGAGCTTCCCAATTTGCAGAGAGACCCCTTTGACAGAGAAGGAATAAATCACTTCAGACTCATTATAGCATAGTCAGTGTATGTAGGTCAGTGATGCACCAGGGAATGTCAACAGCACTCTGTTGTACAGTCAGAAGCAGGACAATAAGAAATGAGGAACAATATAAAGACAGGAGATAATAAAGCATTGACTTTTTTTTTTTCTTTCTTGCAGTGAGGGGAAAGGAACAAGGTTAGGTCCTTATTATAAGAAAACAATGAATGAGAGGACTTCAACACTTACAAGGCATTGGTTTCTCTAAAAACACCTGGCATCTGATAGCACACGAGGTAAGGTTTCATGTGACAGAGTAAAATACTGATGCCAAAAGCTGCTGCAGCTAATGGATTTGGGATGAAAAAAACACATGAACTCCATACATTGGAGAAAAGTCATTACAACAGATGCTGAAAGGGGGAACATTCAGTGGAGGCGAGTGTACAAATACCCTCATGTGACTTCCACAACAGATGTGGAGAACTAACAGCACCCTGAGCCTTCACTGATCTTAGAGGTTTATGTTATAAAGTGGAGGGGTGACAGCTGGAACAAGGGGTACTTCTGGAGGAGTGTCATGGACCTGAGCCTGCTCATCGGTGAGAAGAACAAATCAGCCAGAGTTTGAGATTGTAAGGACTCTGCCTAAAGGCCCATGGACAGGTCAGTAATGAGAACTCGAAAGCACCATCAGTGACCGAAACAGAGGAGACAAGTTTTCAAAAAGCTACCTTTTTTGTACCCAGCTTTTGAAAAAGTCTTTCATCTTAGATACCCCAAAAAATGTAGTGTTCTTATGAGTAAGTAGTTCTGATGGTGACAGTAAAGGAAAGAAAACTGTAAAAACCCCAAGTTCTGGCCACATGCACATAATGAAAACTAATAGAAACATGAGAAATTTACCGTAATCATTGGCACAATGTAACGCCAGTTTTTATTCAGGCTTCCAATGTGGCTCATCTCCTCTTCTGTGAGGCTGAAATCAAAGACCTGAGAAGAAAAGCAAGAGGCTTTATTCAATAACCACAGGTTTTTAATATTTAATTGACATTGAGTTTTGCCTCTTGGTTTTGTATCCTTTTTAAGTCACAACCATCCCCTTGTGCCATGAATTTCTCCAGAGATCCACAAGCAATAGAGCTGACTTAAAGGCAAAAAGGTTCCACTTCTCAATAATCCAGGGTGGAATGGAACAACAGCAGTGGCCTGGGACATTGCTGACTATTTCAGTTGCAGACAACAGTGCAACACCAGTTGTAACTGAGGCAAACACACACAGGTACACGCATGAGACTGGAATAATTCATTAAGCTGTAGTTACACAATATTTCTTTTGTACTTTAGAAAAGAAAACCTACGTGCTATATTAGAGTTGCAAGATCCTAGTGTTAAAACCCAAGTAAATTAAATATAATGCAACTCGTTATATTTCAAACACCTTCAGAAGCCGCAACTTTGATAAATCTGAGCCCCAAATAGAAGGAATTTCCATGCAACTCTGATCAACTTCTGTTGTATCTGTAAAAATCTTGGATTTAGACAGCATTAGTTTGTCTTCTGTTTATAAACACGAAGCTGTAATTAAACTCATTTTATAACAAACACAAAACGAGGGCTTAAAGCCTGAGGTGTTCATACACTTGCCAACTCTAAGCTTACTCTGATACTGCACAGAACTCTTCCACAAATATTCAAAGCAGCAGGACTGTTCCTTCAAGTAAGCGCTGCTTATTCAATCAAGTATTCTGTTCTCATGTAGATCTAAACCTTGAGTAACTGCAGAGTTTACTGGACTTTCACATTTCTAGCAGCATACGACATGGCAGAACTCAGTTTGATGGGAGTAACAGTTATAGAAACAGGTCCTGACTTAAAAACATGTAACCAGCCCATCTGTATAATTAAGGGCTTAAAAAAAAAAAAAAAAAAAAAAAAGAGATCACAGGGGATGATTCAGAGACTTCCCTCCATATTACTGGAAGTCAGTTTTCAAATAATTTCTGCAGCAAACTGTTTCTGCTTCAAAGCAGAAGTGAACCACACTAATTCTATTCCTTCAGCATCATTAGGATGACAGTTTGCTGGGGAAATAGTCACCAGCCCTCACTTGCAGGGTAGAGCAACTGTTATTCATAAATAAGAACCACTGAACATAATTAGAAGATTCCCTTGGTTCAATAAATTTCTATCTCAGATAAATTTCAGTACTGTACTTCATAGAAGTTAAATAAAAAATCTTAACCTTTTGATAACAAGACCGTGCATGTGCACATATGCACACACTGACACTTAGTTGCTTAGAACATAACAAGTTTGTGGTCCAAAAATCTTTACCCTCCTTTCTAAGCACATGCATAGATTGATGAACAAGTATGAACCAAGGGCCTCAGGTTGTCTTCGGCAAGTAGTAGGACAGTATATTACTCCCATGAGAGGTCATTGCTGAAACTCCTTTCCTCCATCTAAACCTACCTGGAGATTCTGCTGAATGCGAGCAGGAGTGACACTCTTGGGAATGGCAACCACTTTACGCTGCACTTGCCATCTGTTAAGAGGAGGAGAGGGTTTTTTTTGTGAGTGCAGCCCAGAAACATGATACTTAGTTTGGCTGAATAATTGTGGCAGAGATGCCACTTATGTTTCTATGTGAAATAGAAATACCCAGAAGAAGGCTGACACAGCACTGTACTGTATAAGGACCTAGTATGGCCAAGCTCAAGCAAAACAGTAGCCACTGGACTAATCAGTGAGTGGAAGATGTTCAAGCCTTTGAACAAGCAAGTTTCAGGTGCTTTAAGCTAGAAACCCAAGAAACAGTTAGAAAAAAATGTACATAAGTATTTTATGCAAGTTCTAACATGACGACCGCTGAGAAACTAGAAGAAAACCCAGATCCCTCAAGTGCCTATCTAGCGATTTGAGCACAAAATCTTGAACATGTTCAGCTGGCAGGGTAAACTGCTGCTGCCCAAGACTGTACTAGGGATATTGATACATAGCCAGACAAAAAAAAGAGGATATAAATCGAATTTTACTTTACAAGATGCTGATCATATTCTGGATATCACTCAAATCATCTTGTTTGCCAGTATCCAGCAACTGGCTTTTGCTATACAAAACCAAAACAGCAAATGGTTCTTCAGTGTGAAGAAGGAAGATTCCTTCCTCAGCCCCTCTTCCTGGAAGCTCATTTGAATGCAGTAGCAAGAGCTCAAGGGTTCAAGCAGCTGGCCACAGGCAAATTCAGTAGAGAGCACTGAAACATGGTACACTGCTGCCTTAGTTGTCCACAGCATAAAAGGTAGTGAACTGTCCTGGGCACAGATCCAGGCCCTGAATGAACCCCTCGGACCTAGCCCAGCCACCTGCCTTAAGGCAGGACCAGCTCTACCAACTCTGTAAAACAAGCACCAAATGGGGTTTGCTTTTGGCACTCTGTGATTTTAACTCCCCACTGATGGGGAAAAACATGCACTTTAAGTAGATTCCTTCTAGCTTGCATGTTTTGCTTTGTGTAAGGCCAGGTCCCAAATGCCATCCTCTCTCACACTTGTTCTGTACCTGAGGATGATCTGGGCAGGTGACTTGCTGTATTTTTCTGCCAGTTTTTTGATCCCAGGTTCTTCTAGAAGCACAGGCTCATCTGGGTGTTTCCACATGCGATCTGGAGAACCCAGGGGACTGTAGGCAGTGACAACCAGTCCTTGTTTCTGGCAGTGAGCTAGCAGTTCATTCTGAGCGAGGTAAGGATGGCATTCTACCTATTAAAATGACACACAACACACAATGAGTGGCTAGAGAACAGTTATCAACACAAAGCTCCAAACAAACAGGAAAAAGCACAGCAGAAACAAACACATCACAGGAGGTCATTCCAGATTCTGCAAAGCCTTATGAGGATAAGCTTTCATTAAAGAATGAAAGTGTCCAGTAGGCTAAGTTTACAGGAAAATGAGAACAGATAGTCTAAGTTCAGAGTGCTGTATTTTCCCCATGTACCAAACAGATCATCTGACAAGCAAGGAAGCTCTCTATGGAACAGATTCAAGTTACTCCCCCAGTCTTTCTTCCTTATAGACTAATTTGTTCCTCATAGGGAAGATGAGCTCTTCCACAGACCTGTTCAATTACACAGGCATAAATAGCCACAGAACTATGGACAACCTCCCCCTCAGATTAATCAGGAAAGACCACCTGTGTCCCTACTCCTGCAGAGGTGGCTACATTCTTCCCTGTACATAAGAAGCTACACCCCTTGTGCTAAACACATAGCATTGGTCTGCAAATTCTTCACTCTTAGGGACACATGGGAAAGGTAACTGTCCTCTCCTTTATTCACCTTACCTGCAGCGCAGCTGGTTTGACAGTAGCCACACTTAGTACATCATTGATCTGACGGCTGTTGAAGTTTGACAGCCCAATGGCTTTCACAAGACCTTTTTCTACCAGCTTCTCCATAGCCTTCCAGGTATCCTTGTAATCAGTGTAATCATAACGCATCGTGTTATCAGGGTTCTTTGGGAAGAGATTGTCCCCTCGTCTATAGCATCAAAAGGTAAAATGTAAGTACATACACCCCATCAGTTATATTATGTTAGCTCTTCACTGAAATAAACTTTCCTCAAAGTATTCTCAAAAGCTTATACATAGTTTGGAGGACAGAGTACAAATTGAGCTAATTTGTCTGCTGAATTCCATTATGCTGAATTTACCTATAAGAAATTATTTCACATAGTGTCTTTCCTATGTAAACTTGTTACACAGTACTTTGAACTACTTACCTATATGGTAGCGACTACACAAAACTGATAAGCCATTATATACACAGCAGATCTTTCCACACTTAGATCCTAGAAAACCAGCTAATTTAGAGAGCGGCAATTCAGAGGGCAGCTTTGGTTTTTCAATTTGTTTTTGCAGGAGGGCTGATACTCTTCATAATCTGTTTGGAGCTGCTATCAAAGGGATCTTGGCTTAAGAGCTATCTAGGAGAGACTGTATTCAAAGTACACTGGTTTCCCACTCCCTCTGGATTCCGTAGCAGTGTCAGCACTCAGTACAAGCGCAGATTCTCACAAGGGTCTTAACACATACATGTCAATTGTAGGTTGAGTGTGTTTCCACTCAGTCCTACCAATGCATTTAAAAATAAAATAAAATTAAAAAAAAACCCACCCTGCCTCAAACAAGCATCCCCCCAAAACAAACAAACAAAAAAACCCCAACAACAAAACAAATGAAAACAGAGAACCTGGTTATGCCAGGTGACACCACCACACTGCCAAAGGGCTATGACTGGTCTCTGAGCAGTCCCTGCACGGAGGAGTGCCAGCGATCCCACTGGAAGAACACCGCTTCACAGCCCCTGCAGGACTCTGCTGGCTCAGATCTCAGAGACTGTCCTACATAGCTCTAGCTAAGCAGTGAATGGTGTGAGAAAGGGCAGCAGCTGGGGACAAGGGGAGATGGTTCTTATTCATGTCATTGATAAATCTAGAACCAAAAATAACTCTGAAAACCTTATGAGCTCCCAACTCAGAAAAGCAGCCTCGTATGTCAAGAGTAGTATATTAAGTGAGAGATGAATTTTCAAGACCTAGAGGCACTGTGATTTTCAACCAAAAGTCTATTTTAATTTCTGTGTAAGTAACATTAGTTTGTTCAGCTTCCCAATACAATAGCCACAACAGATAACCATGCACTGAAACAGCTGAAGTAGAGCTAATGGAAAACTCGACAGTGACTAGTTTCCAATGAGAAAACTTGAAACTGCTTTATTAGAATGTCAGTTTTGCAACAGTTTCCAGAACAATAAGCAAATTTAAATATTAGTAATATCTAAATATACATCATTATTTGTGTTATTATCAAAGCAATGTTTTTGGGGTTTTTTTTGTGGGGTTTGGTTTTTTCCCCCCCCCCCCAAACAAACCTGTTTCACAACAGGGGGAATTTTTAAGAGTTCTTCCTCCAAACCAGCTCTAGTTGAAAACACTTCCTCATTCTGTTATGCTGAGGAATATATTTACACTTGTAGTGTCTTTCCTCTTATCATTAGTGTTATATGCTTTATAAAATTGAGTTCATATGAGAAGGGGAGAAAAAAAGTTCTCAAATTTGCGGGACAGGCAGAAGCCCCTTAATCTGACAGTTTCCCCTGTTGAGTGAAGTCCCACGCAAACATCTGGTCAGGAGACAAACCCCCCTTCTTACTGATTGTGGAGGAGTAACTACTTACAGATCTACAAAAAAATAAAGCAAGGAACTCTGCTTCTGATGGGGTTGTAGGGCAAGTGCATTTAGCACTTAACTGGAAAACTTTCTCATCTTGTATTTCCTCAGATTGGAAGATTACTGTAATTGAAGTGTCATAAGAAGTAATTTTCACTTCCGCCTCATGCAGATGCCACCATGATACTGCATGGGCTTAGCCACTCCAATACAGTTAACAACTGTTAGTGAAAAGTGTTGTCTTCTTCACAAATCACTTAATTCTCATTTTACAGATAAGTAAGGCACCAAGGCACAAAGTAGCTTTGGTATTTCTTCAAGGTTACCATATAGGTCAATGGCAGAACCAAGAATAGCTGCTACACTTCCCCAGTGCCTAGATGAAAACACCAGGCTATTTTAAACTTCCAATATATTTAAACTCCAAGATTTTACCTCACTGCAAGCCAAATTTTCAGCTAGTATAACATGGCAAGCTTCAATGTAGAAACCTGTCCCATAAAGCTTTTTTCCCAGTTAGACTACTTTCAGTTGCCTAACTTTGGCACCCATGCCAAACTGTCAGAAGTTTAGTGATCCTAATTTGTTCTCACTATTAAAAAAAAATAAGTAATGGCTTAAAGATTTTAAATGAAGACTTAGTACCCATTTTTTCCAGCCTCATCATTTATAATAATGATAACAATTATACCTTTTCTATTTACAGTACTTCTACAAAAGACCAGAAATTGTCTCCTCTACTACATGTTTACAGACATGCTACAAATCTAACAGTAAACAAATTCCCACCCAACCAAAATTGGAATAAATGCTTTCGTGAATTAACACACCAACTATGAGTAGGTGTACAGGTTATGGGTAGAAAAGAGTGTCTATGACAGTCCATAGGACTACACTACTAGCCACACTGAAAGACATCTTGCAGACAGTATATATAGGAAAAAATTCACAGCCCAGAAAGAAGCTCCTCAGGACATAACACCAGCCACTTACATAAAACTGGGGCTTCTGCTTTCTATGCCCCTTCCAGGTAGGACTTACTCAAAGGCATGAGGCCAGTGCATGAGGTACAGGTCCAGGTAATCCAGTTTCAAATCCCCAAGCGTTTTCCTTAGCGCTGGCTCTACATCTTCTGGGTGGTGCTTGGTATTCCAAAGCTTTGATGTTACAAACAGGTCCTCCCTTTTAATAACCTTTAAGAAAGCCAGGAGAGCATACTTTACTGGAAGAGAGTCAGAAAGGGAATTGTAGCAATTCCCCAGCTAGCTTTAAAACTAGTAGAACAATTTATGTTTAAAAAAAAAAGGTAACACATGGAAACTACAAATCAAACCTTTCAGAAATATACTGGATGGAGAAGAGCAAGAGAAATACACACTTACATTGACAAATCCTTCAAATAGTAGCAACTTATTAGAAGTTTTGAAAAAAAACCCAAAACAATCCCCTCTACACACACATGTGCACTCTTCTCCAAACTTTCCAATTCAAGGGTTAAAGCCACTACTAAGTGTGATGTGGTCAAAAGAAATATTACTCAGTTTATTCATATGTAAATTTCATAATTTCTATTTAACAATTCATATATTCTAGGCACAACCAGCTAACTTACTATACTCATCACATGTTATAAACCAAGAATGCTTCTCATGTAAAGAGTGTGGGAAAATAAACAGACATTTCCACAAACCTCTGCACTTGAGTTTCTAGGTTCTCAGAGGAACACACTCAGAATTGAGTGCCCTGTACCCTGTACTGGAAGATGCAAAAATGAAACACATGGAAACCTGGTTAACTATGAAGTATAAAACACAAAAGGGAGACCATATTTGGGAAGCTGAAGCACAGAAAACCATCAGAGGGCATTTGTCACTGACTTATGTGGGACCAAGTTTCACTCAAGTCTACACTTTGTAAAAGCTGGAATGATTCATTGCTTAGTTTGTCTCCTCCAACCATTCAGTTATTTGTGTGTTCCACATATGACTGTTGTATTCAAAAATAAAGATGTTTTAAGAATTCTAGTGTTTAAGCTAGCTAGCTAATAGGAACTGAATAAAAGAGTCCCTGTATTAGTTACCACATCTAGTAGGAAGGAATCCCTGGGGCAAGCTGAAAACAGCCTCTCTCAAGCTAATCACATAACAAAGAGATTGCCCTAAAGCCAAGGCAAGAGCAGCAGGAAATCAGGAACACAAGAACTTTCTTTCCAGGAGCTCTGAGGCTGTACAGGTAATCCTTCTGCCCCCTCAGGCCAACAAGAGCAAGGGGATGAATCTAAGATTCCACCTCAGGTATTTCCTGTCACATTACTTTATATTTAGGCCATGGACTCTTATTGCAGTCCCTAGAGTCACAGTTACCAAGCCTTCAAATGCAACTGCTGTTTAAAAAAAAGTATGCATTTACTCATGCATATTTAGCTACAAGCAAAAAAACCCAGTCACGAATTTGCTGTGGCTGCCCACCATTGCATGCTATTCTAGACTGGCACACTAGAGTAACTTTTCAAACAAATAATGGCAAATATTTTCCGTTTTAACTAGTGATTCTGGGAACCTCCAACTTTTTGAACATCTGAATTGGGATACCGAGGGGGCAGGGAGGGTGGGGCACAGAATTCAAAAAGGCATTTTCTGTAGTTTCCACGCAAATATTCCTGGCAATCTTTTCTCCTCCTGACAGCCAGGATGGTTACAGAAGAATGAAAGCCCTCTTTCATGCCTGCTCCTGATTAATAACAAACAGCTGGCATTTAGATAGATTTACAGATTTATGCTACTTCCAGGTCACAGTTGTAAATTTTGATACAGCACACAGTCAGCATAGTGGTTCTTGTGCTTTTACCTTGTTGGGTCCAAGGCATTCCCGGAAAGCCTCACCGATCTCTGCTTCATTGCTGTAAGCTGCTGCGCAATCAATGTGGCGATAACCCACACTTAAGGCATATTTCACGGCTTCTTTCACCTGTAATCAGGAACAGATTATCCAATGCATTCAGGTAAAAGCAACACTACTGGAAGGGGAGAAAAAAAAAAAAAAACAACATTAGGGCCTTACTGAGGAACACCTCCAAAGTACAGACCTGCTACAAGGTCAAGAGACTCAGAGTAGGATACTCTGTGGCAAAAAGCCTTTGGGAGTGAAGAGCTAATTGCTATCATTGGCTCCAAGAGTAAAAAGAAAACAGACCATGCACACAGGCCAAGCATGCAAGAACCCAGCAGACAGAATAGGGATTCATTCTTAACTATAGCTGTCACACTTTTCTTAAATATCAAATGAGCTTTAAGAAACAGTTTTCAAATAAATCATGGCTTACGAAGACAAACCTTCTAGAACTAACAGACCAATCAATCAATATCAGTCAAGCCTGAAAGACATCTCCTCTCTCCCAGTAAAGGAAGAGTCTGGTTACTAATTCCAGAATTGCCAGAGTTTGGGTTTGGTTCAACTACTAACACTTAATTTCTAAGATAATAAGATAATGCTATTTTATGGCACATTCTCATTGATTGCACAACAACGAAAGTCACTATACTGCTGACTATTGCAGGGAATCTCCTGATGATTGCTTGCAACTTTGCATTTTGCTTTCCACATCGCTGATGATAAAGGTGTTGCCAACAGCAAAGTGTCCCTTGCAAGAACCAAGAATTACTACAGATTTCAGTGTTGTAGTCATCTCCCATTCAGTTGATGAGCATTAAGTAAAATGTATTTGTATTTAACTTCCAGTTGACAGTAAGCACATGTTCTCTTTTATACCTACCCATCTGAAGTGCTACAGTAGGAGTACATCCTCTCTGTACAGGGATTTCTATACATTGCTCTTCACTGAGTTGTCTCTCGAGACTGTGGGAGATGGTAAATGTGTACAAGCCCCTGTGTACAAGGCTTGATGCACTAGGGCCCTAATGTATTTATAGAGATTACATCTCTCTTGTCAAGAGATTAAATAGTGTGTGCACAAAGGCTAGAGAGATTAATTTCTTTCAACTTAATCAAAGTACCGGCATTTTCAATTTTAAAGCTGACGAAGTTATTAATACCAAATAAAGATGTGTACAGTCCTGCTTTCAGATGCTACAAAAAGAGAAGGCAGAATCACATGTGAAAAAGATCTCTCTTCTACTGGTGGATTTCATTTGTTTTTCTTGACAAGAACTGCAGTAAAGGCATACACAGGATATTTTGACTACATTTTTTGCCATTTTGAAAGGAAAACTGGAACGTAGACCAGTTTCCCTTAGCCAGAATGACAAAGCATTTCTAGTACAGCAGTGAAGTAAGCTCTTCCTTTCTCTAGCAGGAAGTTATTTACAGTCCTTGTTTCACTTTAACAAACATTTCTCAGAAGATCACTACAAAGTCAAGGTCATGCTAATCCTGAAATCACTTGAGACATATTAAAGGCTTTTAAGACTCAATATCCACCCTCCAAAAAGGTGAGAGAGTTGTGGAGCTGAAGCAGAAAAGAAAGGCAAAACAGTGGTGTTCTGTGTCTGTACTAATGCCCTATTTCCTCTATCAGGATAATTTTTTTTTTTAAATCCAAACAGGCACAAAATTTTCCATAAAATGAAAGTAGACACCACTCGCAGAAAACTAAGGATAAGGCCCTCTAAACATGTCTCTGCTGTATTTCAGTATCAGCACATTTTGATAAATTTCTAGCACTGAAAAACTGGGACTGGTCATTTAAATACTTTTTGGATTTGAGCAAACTCTGTATTTGTGTAAACTAAGACATTCCAATGTGAACTGAGAATTCCTGTTCCATGCAAAAGGCAAACAAGCAAAAATGTGCAAAAAAAGAAAGCATTTCTGGAGGGGAAAAAAACCCCAACAACAGATACATGTACATTTAAGAAAAGTAATTTGTTTTAACAGAAAGTTTTGTATTTTTGAGATTATGTTCAGATGGGTATGTGCATTTCGGGGCGGGGGGGGCAGAGGGGAAAAAAAACCACACAACAGAAGCAGTTGGAGATTCACACACTCCTGGATATTTGGTGTTGTGAAATAACAATAGCCAAATGATCCTTCAAACTTTACATATATTCTTTAGTTTAGTCTGACAATACTGCTATGGAAGGAGCAATTACTGAGTTCATTTTGCATTAGGCACGTTGAGTCACATAGCCTAAGTGTAACTCACCAACCCGGCATCATATAACTACAGAAAGAAGGTCTGAAAGGATCTTGAGACATCAGCTAGTCTATCTATCCTCATGCCGCAGAGTAGGGCCAGCTAAGTCTAACCAACTCCTACACACACAATTGTAAAAACCCTTCTAGTAAGTGACAGGCAGCCTATTCCAATGCTTAGATATCTTTATGTTTAAAGCTTTTAAGATGTCTAACCAAGATGGTCCTGACACCACATCCTATTCCTCAGACATGAAACCCACAGCTTCTCCCTTATGAGGGCTTTCTGCGCATTTAGAAGGCACCAGCATGCCTTCCCTCACACCTTTCTTGACCATGGAACTTGTAGGTGCTTCCACCTTTCGTCAGAACTCACCTTTCCCAAACCTTGCATCACCATTGCTGCTGTCTCATCAGCTGGTTCATGCTTTCTTGAACTGGTTTGCCCCCAAACAGACACAGTATAGCAGCTGAAGCCTTACTCTCCTTCACTGTACAGCAAAGTCCTAGGAACCTCACTGCCCTTTATACATCCTAGCAAGGGACTTGTCCTTCCCACCCACCATTTTTTTGGTTTTGAAGATGGAGGAACACAATATTGCTAACAATTAGTGGCAGATTCAGAAACAGAACCTGCAAGTCCCACTTCATTATAATATCCATTACTAGGTTTCCAGTTCTTCAATTTGCCCATCATAAGGTGAAAAGCTAGGAAGCCATCTTCATACTCCCAAGCAACACAGAATTCAAGTAGATTATAGGGAGCCTCTTCTGCACAGCCCAGAGCCATTATGAAGAGGCTTTTACTCTAACAGTTCCAGTCAATAATACTTGGAAAGAAAAGGCTTTGACAGCCTCTCCTGCTTCCTGCAAAGTTGTCATATTTTAGCAGTCCAAGTACTTTTGCTGATGGGAAACAGGACAAAAAACAGATCATCCGCCCACATGATATTCAGATGCAATATGACCAGAACATAGGTGTTGCTATATCACAGTTTGTACACATTGCACTAAAATTTGCTGAAAAGGAACTCAGAGTACCATGTAAGTAATGCCAGCTTAGAGCTGATGTTCCCCTAAATTAAAGATTTTGCCTCCTATCCTTCAGATGTGGATAATATATACCAGTAGTACTGAATTTTTGTGCATCTAGCAAGGATTCTCTAGATTTTCAAGAACTAAACAGTCTCCTCCATAGTTGCAATCCTGCCACAAGACACTCAGTCCAACTGGTTTTCTGACGCACATGCTTCCTCCTCAGCTTTCCTGAAGTTTCACACAGAAAAATAAAACTTCCCTCAGCCCAACGTCTCTCTTGCCCACAGAATCAGCCTCTGCCACAGCAGGTTAGACTTCATCTGGTGAGGATCAATCCTCCAGGCTGAAAGAGTTGCCCACTTGAGAGAAGAGAATAAAGCATTAAAGGATTACAGATAATCAGGCTCCAATATTTAAAAAAAAAAAAAAATTGTACTGATATTCTTGATACTCATGTCTGAACAGACTTCTCTTTGAACTCATTCATGCTGCCAGTTCATAAGCTTCTGTACTGCGTTCCCTTCCATTCAATAGCCCTCCATCATGTACCCATGGTAACACATAAAACAAGTTTCTCTTCTACCATTTGATCATGTAAGACAGAAAACACCATATTATTTTAAGTTAGTCTTCGAACACAGATTTAGAATTGACCATTCCCCCTCCTCTGTTCTTACCCTCTAGGAAACTACAGCTGCAATGACACCTTTGTACCGGACTGCTAAGATCTGGCTACAAGAACAAGGCTTGTTCAGGATCAGGAAGAGTAACACCAATAAATAAATAAATTAATCAAGAGAGTAAGGTCAATACTTAAAAGCAGCTTTGCAAGAAAAATAATTACAATCTGCAAAATATTTACCTGAAATAATTTAAAAGCCACCCACTTCCACTGTTATTTCTAACATAGCCCTTGCACAAAACAGCTTTCAATAAATAGCTTCTAGCTGGGAAACAAGTAGATTAAATATGATCAATTATTATTATCCTGCTTCTCTAGGTTTTTAGCCCCTAGTCTTTAATTCACAGTTACAGTTATTCTCCCTGGACTACATGATGTCCTTTTAAAGGTAAATGATTTGGACACTCTACCAAATTGCCAGAATGCTTCTGAATTTGATAAACCTCCATTTAAAAAATGCAAATGATGCAAACAATTTTGAAGAATTATAAATATGAATTTATTTATTCCATAGGAAAGAAATGGCAGCAACTTCTGTAACCAGGGTCATTTTCACTGCACTTTGTAGATCACATCTTCAAAACATTCTAGGAGAAAGTCTTTGAAGACAGTAAATATTCCACAGAAGTGACTCCCATTGACTTCCATGGGACCCCAGAAAAGATTTCTGGATCCCGCTGCTTACTATGGCAAAACCCATCTGAACTCGATTTCAGTTATGCACAAGCAGAATCTTTCCATGTTGTTTTACAAGACCACACTTTTCTCCAAACAGTTAGCACACCAAATAAACAATGTATTCATATTTTGTTTGTTTAGTTTCAGGTATTTGTTTTAGCACAATGCATATTAAACTGCTTTGAATGCACAGAAATTAATCCATTAAGTTCCTGCATGTTAATAAATTTAATTCAGCTGCCAGTTGATGTCTGAAGTGACAGAGCTGAACATTCATCCTTGTCCTCATTTGAGAGGTTGATTGAGCTCTCACACCAACTCAGCTTCCACATTAGCACAGCTTCTATTCCCAACAGATTCACTGTCCTGACAATTGTTTGGACAGAAAGCCCAACAATAAAATGCCTCTGAATAGATTTAATTTTTATAGCTTGTTTCTCACCTTTTCCTCTAGCCTGCACAATCTAATAGCACAATCATCTTGAGAAGGGTTTTAACTTTCCCTCTCATTCACAAGCACAATGTCATCCAACATATTCCAAAAACCACCATGAAGCTAATACAAAAGGCATTAAAAACAACATTAAAAAACAACAATAACAACTAAGAACTCCACCAAGTAAGAGGACACTCCTGCCAGCCACTGCACATACTTGCTGGGAAAGGCAATCTCTGCCCCCAGGAACTTCTCTTTTAAATAAATGAAACAAAAAGGAAAAGACAGACATGGGGAAGTATTACAGTAGGAGGCACAGCCCACAGCATGCAAACATTCCCACAGACAGCTTGTAGTAACACACAGAATTGTTTCCAAGTGTGGTGTTTGCCAATTCATCGCATTTAGAATCAGAGTGAATGTCTAATGACATATTAGCCACCTTAGTCTAAAAGCAGGATGACCCAAGCAAGTTGTTTTTCTGCTAAACAGAGGCTGACTGCTGGGACAGGACTTAGGTCAAGAACAACTGGAGTTCTTATGTCCCAAAAGAATGCTTTCAGCTGAGTCATTAGCCCAAGCAAGAGGTATCTGATCAGACTGGCAGCCTGTGTCCTTCCCAGAAGTCAGGCACCATATTACAGCTACAGCATTCTCCCTGGCTCTTCAGCCCGCTCATGGGTCTCTTTCTGGATTCATCTGCCAGAGCACCACTGCCCAAGGCCTGGGTTAACAAGTCTTAAGGGATCTCCTGCCGCATTTGTGCCTTAAGGCCTCAGTCATACAAACACATACATGCATTCCGCTGACTTCAGTGGACCTAAGACTAAAACCATCCAAGTGAAGGAACCAAGCCTCAGATTTAGGATCTCAAAAAAAGTTGCTTAAACCCACAAATACTAGTTGAGAACACAATATTGTATTGTTCTCTGCTTACTTGGCCACGTTCACTCTTCCAAGTTCCCAGTCCTATGAGAGGCATCTTCTGCCCAGTGTGGAGAGCAACGAAGTCGCATACTGCAGACATTTTTGCCTAAAGAAGAACAAGAACAAACTGAGTTTTGCAGCAATTTGGTAAGTTAAAATAATTTACCTTTATCTATGCAAAAACAAATAAATAAGTATAAAGGGGATGAACAGCTACCCTGGAGAGACTAGAAAAGGAGCCTTTTTTCTGCTCTTCCTTCTTATTCTCTTTTCTCCTTTACAATGCACAGGCTTAAGATTTCTCAGAGTTGAGAAGTACAAAAAGAAGCATCCTGCAATAATATACAATTAATAGAGAAGCTCAGGTGAAAAAATGCCATTTTTTTTAAACCAGCAGTAAACATTGACAAGGCAGGAGGGAGCAAGAGATGTTTGTCTGCCCTTAGTGTACAGTAATTCCACAGGACTTCTGCACTAAGTCTTTCCTTTTACCAACTCACTACCAGCTGCCTCAGGAACCAAGCTCTAATTACCACTGCAGTTGGGGATTAATATATTTTGTCAGAAAAAGACAGTGCAGGTCAAAGTTTGAAGACGTGATACAGGCAGGGTTTTGATTAGGAGTGAATAGTAAAGGCATTTATGAAGGCATACCCCAGGAAAAAAAAAAAAAAGCTCCAAAGAACATCACTGCTGAAGGATCAGTCCCATCTTTTCATGCAAGATATGTGCTTCATCACCCTCGAATCCGAATTTTCACTAACTCAGAGCTGAACTACAGCTCGTTACCAGGGCTGTCTGGCATTGTGAGGAAAACCAGAAACAATTTGGCTTCCTTTGCAACCAGCATACTTGCTTATGGATTGTCATATCCCTGCAACTGGCAAATACTACCAAATGGGAAGACTACTTTTTTTTTTAAACACTAAAAAAGCCTCTCAGATGTGAAGTCGGGGCTAGCAGAGGGTACAAAATGGAGGAACTTTCAAAGGTAGACACTACAAAATAACACCTCAGGACACAAATCACATAAAACTGGTGCATATATATATTTTTTTTCATTCTGACATAGAACTAGAAATAACTGCGTGCAAAGTGAGCTAAAATGCAGTAGGTCCTTATATACTTACGTGTTTTTAATCCAAAAATAACTTTGTCTTCCTGCTCTTTTCTGTCTCCCTGCTCATTCAGAAAGGGACACTATCTTTCAAAGAGCTGAAAGATTCCCTGCTCCCATACTGCCAAAATCTGCATGTGGACTCTGATGGAAATCTGAGACTAAGAGCTCAACTCTTGCATAAGATGCATTTCAAGTAAAAACAGAAAGAAATAACTGGCATTGCTATTATAGAAAGTGTCACACATCTGATTTAGCACAAATTCACAGAGCATTCTTCTGTTACTAAAGGGAGAACGAAAAAAGATTATGCAAAGTCAGTTGTCACTTTGAGCCTGGGCTTCTCTTGTGCTCAGCACTGCGATATCCAAGCATTTTCCCTGTGAAATTCCACAGAACAAAGGTCCAGCAGGATCTTCCATTACCTGTTGCTGGCTTTACGGCTGCTGCGAACAGCAATCTGCTCACAGTGGCAAAGCTTTTTATCAAAAAGGAACGTTTTATGGTGTGTCCCAACATTCTCACAACCTATGTTTCTGGTCAAATTGTTAACAAGAAACTACATTCAGGATGAGCTCCAAAGCTGGCTAGCTGATTTCAGCAGAAGCTGAGGAAGTTAATTCCCAAGTTTAGCTGTGCCCAAACTCATTAATGTTATTTGTTTAAAAAAAACCCAACAAAACCAAGAGTGGAAGCATGCAGTGTTGGCTGAATGGCTGACTATGTAGAAGGAACAGATGTTTTCAAAGCAGAGCATTCACACAGTATACTATCCCAAAATAGCTCTGCCTTCTCCATGTCGTTGTTATTTTCCTCAGATAATTAAGTCCCAGCTGATGGATGTGTTTGCACAGAAACTTTATATTTTTCAACTTCTTGCTTAGCTTCTCAAGCCACATTTTTGTAGATTTACAGCAGACCAAACACCATAGTTGTTTTACAGAGACATAACAGAGCAGTTGGACTGATCCTGACCTGAAGGCCACTGTACTCCAAGGAGCTGGTGAGACACATAACAATTAACCTGAGTAGGTCCAGGCTTGTCTCATGCTGCGCTTCATGCACAGCATGGCCTTCAGGCCTGTGCTGTGGGACACACAACCCATGGCTGCAGGATAAGCTCAGCAGCTAGTTGTAACAGGGGAGTCTGCAGACAGCTCCCACTTGGTACCTGCGATTACACTGCCTACGTGTCCTTGCCTTTATCTAAAAGAGCAGGAAGTTCTCATGGGAACATCCTTTCTGTATGACAGTAGAAATGATAAACAGAGTTGTTTTCTTGTAAGAGAATCCCTAATAGCTCAAGCAACTGAAACAGTGTAACCCTTTCTATGGACAGGGTCTGCATGACATGCTGCATGTGAATTGGAAGAGGTCTGGTCAATGCTGCACCTGAAGTGATCTAAGATTATCAACACTATCCTCTTGCTTTATAGGGTTAGCTCTAACAAACAGCATTTGAGACGACACTTTACAGAATTTGAGTGCCTTTCTTATTAGAATTGTAATGGACCAGCACCTCCTGTTGCAAAAGAGCATTTAAACAACCTAATGGCTCTGAATTCGCACTGAGATGCATTAAGTCCAGATGTTAGTGCTGAAAGCAATGGTTGGTGAACCAAACTGTGGGCATACACCTATTTTTTTGTGGTAGGGAGTCAGAAAAGGAAGAATGACAATGACAACAGTATTCTCTTCTATTCTGAATTTGCATAGCAATTTTGTAGTTAGCTACATGCAACTAGGTGCTTTTTACCTGAATTTAGTTACCTCAATAAAGGTATCTTCTTACAGCATGCAAGACAACTCAAGACTGTAGGCTTTTTGATTCACGTTGGTCTATAACACAAATACAACACAATCGTATGCTTTACACAACCATGTTACACAATCATCTCAAGTGCAACACTTCAGCCCAGAAGACAAAGTACACGTTTAATCAATAACTAGCATCAGCACATTTTCTAAGAACCATCTTGCTTCATGTAACACTGTTGTATATTAATACTGCAGAGAGAGGAGAACTACAGCCCCTAGAAGAATGGAAACCTGTCAGAATGAGAAACACTGGAAAAAACACACTAATTAATACTTTCCACTCAAATTCTTCCCTTAATAAGAAGATGTCAGGAGAACTACAGTGTCTGCTAGCCATCATTATTCGGTTCATTAAAAAGCTGGAAGCCTCTTTTTAGAAGAGGAAAGATAAAAATAAACACAGAAGCAAACTAATTCTGGACAAGATGTGGTTTTGGCTTAACAATACTCACCTCTCCTAGTGCCATATTTGCATAAAACAGTAACACTCAGAGTAACTCAAAGGCAATGTAAGGCTAGGAGGATACATTAATAACCAGATAAGTGTAAACTACAGCTATGCATCAACCTACAGCTACAAGTCACTGTTAATCCAAAGCAGGGAGTCTTCTACAAGCAAACCACACATAAATACGAATTAAATTAATATGTATAGATATGCCAGGAGGTATACACTGGAAATACGGAAGTCCCTGCTACTGAATAGCTTTTGCCCACAAACGGGGGAGAACCCTCCACATTTCGTTTCCTCCAGAGGCGCTCCCATCTCCCCCTTATCGGGGCGGCCCAAGGCGGGCCCGCCCGGCGGCGGGAGGCGATGGGGCCCCTCAGCCCACTGCCGCACTCACCCGCACACCGCGCAGCATCAGCCACCCGCTCACAGCGCCGCCGCCCGCCTATACCGCCGCTGCCGCCTGCCGCGCGCTTCCGCTTCCGCCGGGGAGCGGGTCACCGGAGAGACCGACCCGGACCCGGGGACGGGCTCTGGTTCTCTGGCAGCGAACTGCTCCCGGGCGACTCTTCGGGGATGCCCTGCTTATCCTTTTCTTCTCGGTTCGGTTCCCATTAGGAAGTTCCGGCAGCCCAGGCTCGCCCATTCCCAGCCGAGCGCTGAAGTGATAAATCTGACGGACTGCACCACGCAGAGGGAAGCTACAGAATGCAAACAGAACCGATAAAGACTCCGTGAAGTGTATGCGTTTACATCAAAGTCCCCTCGTCTGCTATTTTCTTGGCTTGTTTTTTCTGTTAGACAGAATTTCCCCAGTTTCATTTGCAGCCCTAAATAATAGGAATCCAGGGGAAGTCCCGAGCCAGCCACACTCGTTTTGCTTCCGCTTCTGAAGTGGCACTTCTGCGAGGAGTAAGGCTCCTTTTGTTGCAGGTGCACAAGAAGCCATTTCCTTATTTGTGCAAGAAGATTGAAAGTAAGATTAAAGCAGACTGCTTTTAGCAGAGTGCTTGCTTCTGGGTAGGTACAAACTCACTATTGTAGCCAAAGATACAACCTTCGACAGGAGCAGACTTTGGCCTGCAGCTGAAACACTACCCCTACATTTACAGGACTGTACACGTAATCTTAAAACACAACTAAAGAAAATTATAACCAGTTTTTACTTTAATTCCAGGCTTCAATTTTTATAACTAATTTACAAACAATCAGAATTTGAAAACAGTAAGCTTAGATCAGAAATAAACATATATATATATATATCCACCAGGGCTTTGAAGAGGCTGTTATTTATTTCCAGAAAGATAATTCTGCTGCAGATTCTTTCTTTGCTGTTCTGACTTGAACTGCTCAGGAGGCTTAAAGGCACAAAGGTTAATTAATCTCTTGGGCACGCACATGACCCGATTTTTATGTTGTGTGGCCTGTTTTGACAAAACACAGGAAAGTGGAAAGAGAGAGCAAGGACGAGACAACAATTAAAAGTAACAGGAAATAGAAAATTGAGAAGAGGAAAGAATAAAGGGGAAGGAATCACTGCTGGGTTTGATTTATTTTTTATGGACACCCTGTCAATCACAAATGCATTTGAAAATCCACAGTCTTAATGCAATAGAAGATGCTTTAATTACATTAATATCGCAGACAAAAACTAACAAACCTCAGCCTCCAATAATGTAATAGAAAGTAAAACAGAAAAGGTAAGGAAAACTAA